CAACCACGGACCTCTAAAACATCAGAGGTGGGATAAGGTGCCATGGAGGAGTGACCATCCCCTGCTGAACGGTCACACCCGCCGTGTGCTCCTTGTCATGATTGGGAAAATAACAGAAAAATCCGTCGACAATTCATAAATAATGACCCACCAATTAGTATGTGAAACATCAATCAGCATTTGACTTAATGTTAAATTGTATTTGCTGATAAGGTCATTGTATCGACCATAGAACTTAGAAATAACGACTTTTAATGAGACTGTTGACATTCTTGTTTAATCAACTTTTTTGTCAATAATTTACCACGTTTAAGAAATTGTTCATAATGCTCTTGCATATCGTATCAACTGATAGATATAAACCCTGTATACAGGTGATGAAGGTATATTGCTGCATAAGTAAGAGAAGCTGACGATTGAAAAGTTAAATTCATCACTTTTATCCTAAAGCTTGATTCTTAGATTACTATTAACGTCTTTTTCTAGTAAAATATCTAAATTTCATTTGTCAGACTCCGTGATATCTTTTATTTCAAGCTCACTGGGATATATCGTATCGACATAAGAAAAGAAATAACCATTGTTAATTGACAATACGTTGTCGATATATCTAAATGTCGAGTTGACGGCCACAGCAAGTGTTTTCTTTTTACGTATAAGATTTTGAACAAATTCTGCTTCATATGAATACAAAAATTGGTCTGCTCATAAAGGGGTGCAATTGGTACCCATAGAAATTCCAATAGATTGTTGGAGAACCTGGTCTCCAGAAAACACATGGATATTGTCAATCAGAAACCCAAGCATCTTTATAATATCAACTTCAGAGTACTTGTATGTACAATCAGAATACTTTTTAAAAAAAATAATTTAGCAAATAACCAATGACAAGGTAAGTAAATTTACAAGTTCCATTTTTCTTGAAAAAGCAGCTGTCAATGATATCAAAAAGCCTGGACTTTAATTTGACGTGGGGAATGGTTGTACATAAAGTTGAAAAGTCGCAAGATTTATGTTGTTGATTTCGGTAAAATTTTGTGATTTCAAATTTTCCAAAAGTTTTTTGGAATTTTTAAGTATCCACATCTGATTAACACAACTTTTCGAGTATATTGTTGCACAGTACTTCTGAAGTTTCTCCTTCACTACTGTTAATATTTTAGTGAGGAGTAAAGAAAAAGGCTTGGTAGAACATTTACTGGAACCCCCTACTTATCTTTGTTTGTAAGAATTTAATGAAGTTTTGGAATCCAGTATAGATATGGTAATTCTAATTTATGTTGGTTGTTGGAAAAATTGAAAATATTCAACACTGACCTATGATTTTGAAAAATTTCATCCTAAGGAAGGGAGCTATGGATAAAAGATGGATTACCACTTGTTGATTTAAATCCCAGTTCCTCTAACATACATGTACAATTTAAATAATGAGCATTACAAACAAAGACAAAGTTGTTACCTGCTTTGTCAGCAGGGACCAGTACATACTGATCGTGTAATCTATTTAATTCTTTTTTCACTTCTGAATTACTGAACACGGAAGGATAGTTGGTTTTTATTTTTCGCTTCAATTGCTTAATGCAAGATTTTAACATACATCCGATGCATTTAATCCATTCTGACAACGTGTCAAGGTCTTTTTCTTTGCCTGGCGTAACCTTCCACAGAATCCATAATATTTATGAAATTTTGACTCCAGTTAAAAGATTGGGGTTACCTAAATTTCGGCCCTTTTAAAATAAATGATATAAGGTCCTCATTATTAATTATATTTACGTCATCAGTAATAAGGAGTCCAGCAAGACAATGTTTGCCGGGTGAAGAAGAACATGAACATGAAGGGGGTTATGTTTCAGATGCATAATGTCCAGGCTCTGTAAAGTTTTCTTGTAATTAAAAATTTTGGAAGCAATAGTCGATGTATATTTGTAGGAAATGCAAGGTTTAGTCTGATACTTAAAATATGGTGGAATAGAATACTGGACCCTTTTTGATTTTGAATATTACTTATATTTATCGCGTCAATTCCCTTGTTTGCATATTGTACTTTAAAGGGGGAAAAATGGATTGTTTTAGCTGCATTTTCTTTTATAAAATGTGGCGGTTAAAAGAGCCAATGATTTGCAATATCCATAACCACAGATCCGAGCTTGTTCTGGTGTCGAGGAATGAAAGAATGGACTTTCCTTGAGCTTTTCAAGTAGACTATTTTGATATTTCAAAGGGACATAGTGAAGTTTGGTGCAAATGTGATGAGGAACTAACTGTCGAATTACACAAAGTACATGTAGTAATGAATCAAAAGAAACATCGTGTATTAAAGGTTTATTGTAAGACCGATGCCCATGACTATGCTGACGTCTCTGTGTATGTTTAAAAAGTCCCATCACATTTACATTGTGGACTGGGAAGATTCCCAACACTGTCGACATTGTCAATGCATCCATAGAAAAAGGCCGTGCCTATAATTTTCTAATCCAATATTTTTCTCGTTGCCTTCGGAAATGTGTACTCAGTGATGGACTGTTTGTATGATGGCAAATCTTTTCTAGAATTCTATTATTGACAAAATAGAATCATCAGGTAAATTAAAATGCTTGCATAGAAGCCGCTAATTTGAAACCTGTGTCCTGATATGCTTTTATTAAGTGAACCCTTGGTTTCACCAACATAAACAAGTCCACGAAGATTACATTCTAATCCGTAGACAACATTGGAAGATTTGCAGTTCAGATTTTCTCAAGTTTTGGTATAGAAGCTCTCTCCAGTAAGATCACTATTAAAAGAAGTTTGAGTTATCAAAATGTCACAGGTTTTACAGTTTTTTGCAGGACATTTTGAAATAGAAGACATGGGATCGGAAAAGAATCTTCAGATATATCTCTAATAGAAACTTTACATTCTTTCGATTTTTCATGAATCATTGGTTTTATACCAAATTAGGAATCTGAAGACTGCACATATGATATATGTTTAATATCCCTGAGAATTATCCAAGAATCCATCGAATGAACTCTTTATGTCTAAGTCCCTTATAGACTCAAAAGAGTTACACCTTTTTTGGGCGACTCGTCTGCCAGTATCATTTCGTTACACAATATCTCAAATACATTCTTACGTATAAGAAATTAATGTAAATTAAAAAACAACGGCAACAACATATTACTAGAAATAATTTAGGTGAAACCTTCAGTGAAATTTTAAGGACCAATGTACACATGTCCATGTAATAATGACCTGTCTACCAAAGTCTATTAATCCCTGCCCTAGTTAGTAAAAAGAAAATCAAAGGAGATTAAAAAAATCGATTATATACTGAAACGCCAAAGAAACGCAACATCCTATTTTAGGGGGGAGTATTACATATAGGACATAATTTTGTATCTAAAAAGAAAGGCCATCTTCAACTTTGTAAATATCGGTAATTTAACGGTTGAATGATTTTCATACCATTACCGGAAGTTAAGACTGAGTCTGCTTAACAGAAATCAAAAATTCCATGTTTAATAAAATATTTGGCAATATAGGGTTTTAAGGATTTGTATCTGTTCATCATAAGTAATGCATCAATGTTTCGAAGAATAAATTTTCCTTTCTTTTCCGTAAACGATGATAAGGCTTCCTGAAAATGACTTAAATACGCATTTCCATTGCTCTAGCTGGAAAGTCTCAAAATAAAGGTGATGGAGAGTTGCAAATGCAAATATGGGCACATCACGCCTCAACAGGCTCTTACGTAGCATTAGCATGAATGGCAGTCCTTGAACCGGAAGTCCAAGGGTTACTACACTGCGCTTAACTAGAGAAAATTCGACCTCATCATCTGAAAAAACAGGCCTTTGAAAATTACAAAGAATAGTTCTTTCGCTCAGATCTCGAGATTTATGAACCTATTGCATCGTACAAATCAAGCTGGAACTGTTGTGCATGGCAGTCTTGTAATCGCTGTTATTGAATGAACTGGGTGGGGGGTGTAATAAGAGTCGTGTTTCTTTCTAAAGTTCAAGATGATCATTTATAACATTTTTATCAAATTTCTGATGTTTTTTAATCGAGCTTTACCTTACTGTATTCATTATTGAAAATCATTAGATAAAAAATTCAAATATTTGTAGATCACTGCCTGTTGCGTTTCTTTTGCGTTTCAGTATACATTAAAAGGAAATGTAATTATATATGTAAATTTATGTGTAAAATGGGTGAAAGGACAGTAAACATTTTTGATTTGCACATTAATTTTAATATATAGGTAGAAATAATGTTTCAATACCTTTAAGAATCAAGTTTGTGTTCTAATCGCAGTTCATGGCGATCTTTGCGTATTTTTTTATATTTTAAAAATTATCTTCCCATGAAACACAAAGATCTATTTTCTTTGAAGAGATCTGATTTCCCTTTCTTGGAGGATATATTTCTATAACCAAGTGTTTGTGAAAAAACATGTTCTTGGAAAAATGTTGAAAATGAGGAAGTTTAATAGCAGACAAAGAACGAGATTTAATAACACAGTTTGATCAGAGGAGCTCACTTGAGCCTCAGATGGTCTCATAATGACATACGGCATTCTCTATAGAAAAATGAAATTATATGCAATGTTAAAACAAACATGATGTAAAAAAAAAACCCACTTATTTACAAATGATGTAATGACGCAAAAACACCTAGGCTAAGAACCCTGAATGTATATTTTAACGCACGTGCCCTTTTAGGTGAACACGATATAGAAAGTATTGCAATCAGTTCTGGCTTCAAACTGCTACGATATTGTATTAAGTGTGATATTTTTTTAACCATACCGTTAAAATATCACTATAATATTTCATTTGCACACACTTCCTTGCAAAGTATAATGTTATTATTTAACATTTAAATCATCTGCTAGCATCATTCATGCATGTGTCTTCATTTTTTCAACATCAAAGTTATATTGTTCTCGGATTTGTCGTATTTGAATTCTTTACGCTTCATCTTTTTGTTATAATAATTTGATAATTTTTTTTTTAATTTTTCACTGATTCATCAATGTCATGACAGCATTCTAAGTAATCCTGTTGATCTTTAGTTGCAGTTTCCTCTGGTTTCTTAGATTCATCTGGCAAAACAGTTATGTAGCTATTCCTGCTTTTCAACATTGGCTTTTCATAACCATCAACAGGACAATCTTCTGTAATAGAATTTGCGACATCAAAATATTCTTCCTTGTCCGTACTTCCAGATTCATTTCTTGGGCAAATTGCCATTTTTGATTCGTCTACTTCGGAAAGTTTAAAATTATGTTTTACACCTACAGCTGTCTCTTCGTTCATTTCATTGCTTTTTCTGTGTCCCACAATCTCACTCAGGCGGCAATCATTTGTGTTAGAGGTCAAGGTGGATTCAGTTCTTTGAATATTCACGAAAAGAGAAGGAAAAGGAAGTGCAGTCCCCGGGTTTGGTCTGTTCAAAAATCGTGGATTATGTATGTATTCTGCGTATGATGGAACATAGATGTTGTTTACTATATCCATACTTTGAATTTCCTCGTACACTTCTGGTTGTCGTTGCGGAGTTGACTCTGTTTTGGGTATTCTTTTATATCGACAGTAAAAGAATATTAGAAGACCACCAAGTAAAATCAGGATTGATGACACCAAAGCAATTATGATAATTGTTTTCTGTTTGGGGTCTTCTTTTCCTAAAATTTAGAATAAATTTTCCACTTAAAGCATATTTGCGCTAGAGTATGTAGGAAAATATTATTTGCAAAAAGTCAAAATATTTAGGCTTTTGTAGTAGATTAAATGTATTATTAACATGAAAAGCTAACACTAAGCAATCTAGTATAAATGAGTATTCAGCTGATAAGAATAAAAAAAAAAGTATCCTAATAGGTAAAGCTATTTTTAAGTTAGAGTTTGAAAATGATGTTTAGTGAACAGAGGAAATTTTCATAGCTATCTTACCACTGCATGGTTGTGTGTTACAGGTTATAGTATCCGTAGACATGCTCTGACCAACACACGGTTTACCACCATACAATGGAACTGGTTCAGAACAAGTGCGGATTCTAACACGTGTCTTTGTTCCGTTGTTACAAGAAGAGGAACACTGACTCCAGTCTCCGAGTGGAATAAATAAAGACCAATGTCCATCAACTTAAATGTCAAAACTTAAAAAGTTCAAACAGCTTTTAGGAAATTTGAATCACATTTTTTCCCCGAAAATCTATAATATCAAATCGTATGATATTTTAACAATTTATATAACCGCCCCCACGATATACAGAAGAGACGGCTTTTTGTAATTATGGATATCTGCTTTTTTCTACAAGAATGGTTCTCGCAATTTTTCTGTCTTGTCATTGGCCATCTTCAAACTAAAAATATCTAAAATCACTGATTTCTCCGTTTATCCGATAATAACAGAAAACATACAGCAAGGTTGGCAGAGGATACTCTTTCCTCAATGGCACCGATCTCAATCTAATGTTTTCAATGATTTGTGTTTGCTCTGTTTTTGTTTGCTAGGTGTTTCATTTGACTTTTAACATAATTACTTTTTGTTATCATCATATTTGAAGGTAAAATGAAAATGATCATGTTTCATACAGAAAAAAAGTCTTTAAACTGGGTTGCAAAATTATTTTCATTCAAAAAAGAAGGAAAATCCCCAATCTCCACCTGGGCAGGTCTGAATATTACATCTTTGCTCCTTTGTCTCATTAGACTCCTTGCAGTTGTTTCTGCCTTGTTTTGTTTCATTACACGCTCTTGTCCTTACACTCTGTTGAACTCCTCCACCACAGGAAACAGGACAATTATTCCACTCTGACCAATCTCTATGTACTGCAATCAAAACCTAGTATTAAGCGTTTAATATATGAACTTCTGTCTTGTTTCTAACGTAAATATATTCTAGATGGAAATGCATCCTTTGTTTATTTTGTACTCACAAAAATTCACCAAAACAAACTGATATAAAAATTAGCATCTTAAAGTAACATTTCTCCTCTTAAAACATTTTAATTGTATATATTGTCAGGCAATCATTTAGCTACTATATAATTTGTATTGCTCCAAACATTAAAACAAAGTTAGTATATATAAGACCAGCGCATGACTTAATGTTGCACATCCTTTCTTCTTTGAAGATACCCAATCCAACACAGTCTTTGCCTCCGTGCTGCGGTTCCGGGTTGTTACAGATCCTATGTCGAGTTCTGTGTTGAAATCCCTTTCCACAGCTTGTCGTGCATGTTGTCCATTCACTTAATGGACCATAAAGTGACCATCCCCCAAGAACTTATTTAAATGAAGGATGAAAAAATAAATATACATGATCTTTTTCCAACATTAAAAAAATTGAATGTTTCTCTAATAATAAATGAACTTTAATGATATGTAATGAATACGTAGGAAAACTGTAGACAATTATCCCCATTTCAACACTTATTAGTTATATGCTTCTTTTGACAAGTCTCAGGACGTGTGAGCTCAGGTTAAGTGTGGCCAATTATGTATTAAGGCATAAAAAAATAGAAAATATTACAAGCAGTTCAAAAATAAACATACAAGTGCAAAGGCAGCACCTGCCAGGCCTTATATCTAAAGAATTTCTTCTGACCTTTTACATTTTTTAAGTATCTAGGTCCTATACCTGGACAAACTTGTCTTCGGCATTGCTTGCTTTCTGTCATTGTGCTAGGTCCTTCACATGGTTTACCACCATAAAGAGGGGCTGGTTGAGAACACGTGCGAAATCGTACACGTGTTTGAGTTCCACTGCCACATGAGACACTACACTGACTCCAATCCCCATAAGGAACAAATTCAGACCAGCTTCCATCAACTAAGACATATAATAATGTATTTATTTCTAGTAAGGAAATATACCCTTATTTTAGATATACAAATGCTAAATAGGTAGCTCGAAAGAAATGCCTTACATATATAATACCTGGACAAGGACTCATAATACATCCCTTTGTATCAGTAATTAAGTTTGTTCCAATGCAATTCTTCCCTCCATTCTGTGGTTTTGGATTATTACATATCCTTGTTTTACTTCTACTTTTTATCCCGATACCACAAGTGACAGAACACCTGCCCCATTTGCTGTATGGTCCAAATTCTGACCAATTCCCATTAACTATACAATACATAAGATTCATTAATCATTATTCAAATTATTTTTTCACAATGTTTTCTTTTCTTAGGGAATGATGTAATTAATCTAGATATATTTAGCTCCAAGGTATGTGTATTACAAAATGTAAGTCACATCTACCTAACATAGTCCATTTCAGGTACATGTTTACCTGGACAAGGATGAGTATTACAGAATCGTGAAGCTCTACGTCCGTAGCTTGACCCTTCACAAGGTTTGCCGTCAGATGAAGGGAAAGGATTTGTACAGATACGCCTCTCTTGCCCTGATTGTATACCACCTCCACAAGTCACAGAACATGGTTTCCAGGCAAAGAAGAATTGTGTCCAGCCTCCATTTACAGCTAAATAAGTAAACAGTATATAACTGATTTTCATCATGTTTATCAACATAGTATAGCTATATAAGCCGACCTATTTTATATTCTTGTGAAGCAGAATTTATACAATAGCACCTAGATGAGAGGAAAAAAACTCTTTTTATGAGAGAATGTTGAAAATGTTTATAGTTTAGTAATTTAACGATAGCCAACTCAGTTTAAAATGGTCGCCAATTTGGCGACTTGAAAAAAGTTTTAGGTCCTGTGTATGCCGGAAAAGAGCTTCAAATTTAAACTGTACTCGGAACTCAGGGCCACTGAGCAGTGAGGATTCTTTTTCTTGCCAACGCCTACCATGACAAGGGACCCCGGTTTCTAAAGTCTCGTCCGAATGACCTGTGACTTTAAGATCTATTGTCGGTCGCTTGGCGAACGAACAGTCACTTTACGTTCAGGTCTGTCGCGGCGGGGCGAACGAGAATCATACTCGGGCCTACCCAACCGAACGCCTTCTACCAGGTTACCACATCCACCTGCTCAATACAGACTGTTCGCGACAGATGTGATTCGTCGACTAGGGATTTTTCTTTTTATTTCTAGGCAGCTAATCGCCTCTGGTGTTTTGAGAGGTCCCTGTTCATGCATTGTCCACAATTTGTATTGTTTAAATGATCCATGAGATAATTCACTGTTTATTATCTTCTCCATATCCATCTTTCAAATGTATATAAAATAGCATTTTCATTTCAATTTATATCTAATTACTTTTGTACGATAGAAAAAAAAAAAAAAAAAAAAAAAAAAACCAGCATATCAGTGATTTAGATATTCTAAACTTTGAATAAATAGAAAGAATGATCATAACATTTTCTTTTACAATGAAATACAAAAATTAATTTATATCTTATGTTTTCTATATATGACATTAACAAAACTTACAATGTTTACACGAGGGCTCCTCACCTTGACATTCTCTGTCTCTGTGTCTTTTAAAACATTGTGGATCTTAATTGGATGCAAAATATTGTTTACGTGAGTTTTTTTACGATTTGATTAAACATAATAATAATAATAATAATAATAATAATTATTATTATTATTATTATTATTAATAAATAGATAAATAAATAAATAAATAAATAAATAAATAAATAAATAAACTAGCATACTAAATGTTCGGGGAATATTAGAAGTTTTTTCACCTCTCTAAAGGTTTAAAATTTATTTTCATTTTTTTTAAACATACGTACATTACGAAAAAGAAAGCAAAGAAGACTTTAAAGCTTTAAAAAATCTCATTTTAAAAGAAATTTTTCAATGACCTTGACTTTTGACTTTGACCAAATGTTCAAGATCAAATGTGAAAGATAATATTGCATTTGGCCCCATATATTTACAACTAACCAATTAAAAGTTTCAAGCTTTAACGATAAGCATGAGGAAATTAAAGGGCATTGACTAACACAATTGGTCGTCAGATCCTTAGGAACAGAATAGATTTAATTTTGATTTTGAGAAACTAAAGTCATTGGTAAAAAATTAGTGTCTCTCTACAGTTCAGATTTGGAGGAGTAGCGATAATAAGGTTTATGGTGAAAGGACATTAACTTTCAAAGAACTTAGGCTTATGGTTACATTTAAACAAGGACATGTTTTTGCAAAGTATGCATAGTAAAGAAAAATATATTCGGGCTTAATTAAGAAAATTCAATGTTCTACTTATAAATGAGTCGTGCTCATTAATTCTGACATAAGGTGATTTCTATCGTCAACTACCCTTATTTATGCAGCAATATACCCTTAGCACCTGTATATGGAGTTCATGACTTCCATTTGATTCGATACACAAGAGCATGCTATACGAACGAACAATTTCTGAAACGAGGCAAGCTATTGGAAAATAAGTTGATGAAGCAAAGATATCAACAGCATTGTTTAAAATCAACATTTTGCAAATTCTGACGGGATTACATGTACAGGTCGAAAGATGATACATGTACTTATTTCTCCATGTCACATGATCCCACCTCTGATGTTTTTTAGGTCCGTGTTTGCTCTGCTCCAAATTAATTTGTATTGTTTCAAGGATTTTGAGCTTAATTAATGTTCGTTATTTCCATTTGTTCATGATTGGTTTGATCCGAAGGCTGAGGTCGTTTGTCTTTACTCTTATTATAAATATTCATGCGTGTTTTTAAATACATTATACCATGAATACATGTATGTATTGTAAACACAGAGTTAAAAATATATGAAAACATTAGTGTGCAGGGGGTATATTTACCTGAACGCTTTCTCATCGTATATTAAGCGTTAATAACTCCTAACACTAATATCACATTTTACAACACTATTCCAATGTGAGAAATTTCCAGTATACATAATTATATGCATTTATAGTATCCCCCTTTTTTTTCTTCCATTTGACTGCAATCGATGCAATTTTAAGTGTTTATTACGCAGCTCTGTTAAGGCTGCATAAAGGGGGCGGGGCCTAATTTATACGGGAAAAGTTTACTGTGACATCACACAAATATAGCAATTCCTCACAGTAACAGAAAATGAAATAATTTGCGAATCTAAACTGCATAAGAGTAATGAACTACATCAAAACTTACCACTGCATTCATTTTTGTCGCTAGTTAAATCCCACACAGCAAGATATAAACAAGTCACTGATCGCAATGCACTTGTCGACATGACGTCATCATGGTAAAGCTTGACGCATTTTATGTGCAGTGAGAGGCGGATCAAGTAATTTTTTCACAGTGAAAAATGCATTTTATTATTAAACAGAATATTATTTGCAAATCTTAGGTAGACCATTAAAACAAATCTGAAACGTTTGTTTAGTGCCATTATTTAAAAAATATCGAGAAAATGTATTGAATTAATTCTACCGTGTTTTTGTCTACAGGGTGTGCATGTTTCACGCCGAGGTGCCTCATTAAATCGCCTTTTCGCAAGGGCATACACTTAATAGATCTTGACCATTTTTTGAATACACATAACGGACGTATTCCTTAACTTGAAAAGTGCTGCTGCTTTCCTGAAATCGATAGCATGATTTAATAAATACATAAAATACTTGGTAAAGGTCACACATATTTCAACATTAGCCAGATAACTTGAAATTTAAACTAATAAAATGCGAATTCTATTTAAAGCAGCAGCACTTTCCATAAACTACAAGTTATGTAGAAACAATCTATTACTTTAATTTTTGATTTTAACTAGGGTATGCCCTTGCGATATTGAAATTTGTTTGTAACCTACATACAGTACACATTACATGCATTTATCACGTGACTACCAAATAACGTGACCAAACCAAAATCAGTACAGAGCGGGGTATACAATGTTATTTCAAAGAATGTTAAAGTCATAAGATAATATAGTACCTTTACAAAAATAAATTCAGTTTAAAAACGTATGTATTTATGCACGTTTATATTCTGTTGATTTCTTTGAAGTACGCCTTAACAGTGCTGCGTATCAGCCTGTTTGTATTAACGAAAAGCCAGTTCACTCTTTGTAGCGACGCGTTTCTATCTTTGATGCAGCAACCGTGAAGGTGTTTATCCAACGTATTAAATCATGATCGGTGAAAATTCTTGTGATGACCAATTGATTAATGTAACAGAAAACTAGAAAAATAGCAACTAGAAAGGGAAAAAATCTTTATGGAGAGGGAAAAGGAGGACAATATTGACCAAAAAAAAAAAAAAATTAAAAATTCGAAGAATCAATTCCTTAAAGTGGAATGTAATGATCGTTTCAAAAAGCAAAGGTAATTGAACTTTTCCATGCGTGAAAATGCAGAATGCTGAATTGCAAAGCTTTTTTTGTATTTCCGATCGGAAATAACTTTAAGTCAATATCTACATTTGTATTTGCTTGCGAGAAACATATGAGAGCACTACGGACTATTCCCATTCGCAAATTATATTTCATCTACAATGTGTTTTGTTATGTATATATGTAGAATATTTCATATTTCTTTATATGCGAAAAGCAACTAGCGTGTACAAAATTTCAAATCAACGAATCGCGAATTGATGTTGCAGTTAGGTTATGGCCCATTCTTGAAATGCATTCTTTTCAATTTTGCTTACACATAAAAGCAATTGCATGCTTGTGTAATTTTTCATGAACTATTATACATGTATATGTTTGATGAAGATATAATAAATA